GTTGTGTTTATTTGTATGTGGAGCTGAAATTTTGGGAATCATAACCTTTATAAGAAAGAAAAAAAGCCTTCAGCTTGGCTACACAGGCAGGAGTCCTTATACATCTAAGACAACTAAAAATAAGCATCTGCATCCAGGATTTCCTCTCAAAAAAGCACACTCCAAGCCTTGCACAGCTCTCTGCTGCTGCATTTCGTTCTGTGTCTACCTTAACAGGAGCCTCACTAACTCAGAGCTCCACTTTTAACTGCCTTGTCTCAGTGCCCACCACAGGCCAGCATGTCCATTCTATTTTGTGTATTTCTAATATCCTCTCCAGCAGCATCCACTCATGCTAAGCTGCCTGCCTGTTCTGTCCAAGTTATCTTGCAAGGTATCAATTATTATTCCTAGAGTGTTCTGATTACAAAATTGTTTAGGTTTTGAGTAGTCTGTTCCAACCGTATTTTCTCATGAAGCTCTATATGCTTATAGGGAGACCTTGAGGTTTCTCAAGAACATAAATGTTAAAGCAAATTTTCCCACAGTTCCAAATGTCTCTGTTTCTTGACTAGTTCCTCAATTAACTTATACACACAAAATATAGGTCATTTATCTCTTAGCCCTGATGGCACAGTGGCTAAGAGCTATGGCTGCTAACCAAAAGGCTGGCAGTTCAAATCCACCAGCCGCCCCTTGGAAACTCTATGGGGTAGTTCTACTCTGTCCTATAGGGTTGCTACAAGTCAGAATGGACTTGACAGCAACAGGTTATCTGTGTGTAGCCCAGAATCAGATCACTGGAGTCACTGATGCCCCCCATAGCTAATCATTCCACACATTCTATCAGTTTTCCTTATGTACTGTCCTTCACATCTTTTCCACTACCATTTGCTAAAAGTGAAAGCTTCTGCACCTCTCATCTGGGTGAATTTTTAACAGTCTTCCAAGGTGATCACCCTCCTCCAGGTCTTCCTCATTCCAAACCAAATTCCACTATCTTCTTCCACTATAGTTCTTGCAAGAACTATCTTCCTAAAATTACAAACCTGATTGTGCTATTTCTCTGCTTAAAAACCTTAAATGGCATTCTACTGTGCAAAAAGCCCTAACAACTGCTCCTCTTTTATCTTACACTGAACCCTCCCTTCATTTTACATTCTAGCAGAGGTAACGAGGTAAACCATATAAACTTTTGAGTACATTCCCAGCAAAAAGAGACACTCACCAAATATCAGCTTTCACTATTGTCACAGATTACCTGATATTAAAGTCAGTTCTAAGAAAATCATCTCCCTACCCTTGATTTTAAGCATCTGAACTTCCTTCTCTTTGCATTATTAGAGACATGGGTCAAATATTGGTTGTGCCACTTACTAGCTGTTAACCTTGAGCAAGTTATTTAGCTTTATGAACCTCAGTAAAACTTGTACCATGGGACTGCTAAAAATACTAAGTGACATGTATAAAATGCCTAGAAGAGAAGAGAGGTATCAGCAAGTGTTAGTTTTCTTAAAAAGTGTTCCCCTATGAATGAACACAGAAGTAACAGCTTTCTTTCTTTTATCACAAGGCAGGTGGAGAGCAGCACTCAGAGAAATTACTCTGACTACAAATTCTATCTTTATTCCTCTGAGATAAATGGCACAAAAGATTTAGGAGAATCTTTTTTTCTATGCTACTAAGCAAAGGAAAAGTAATCAATAACTGACCATGCTTTGCCAGGTGATTTATACTGACTAATGTGAATTACTTAGGAGCCCTGGTGGCACACTGGTTAAGCGATCAGACGCTAACCAAAGGTCAGCAGTTCAAATCCACCAGCCGCTCCTTGGAAACCCTATATGGGCAGTTCTACTCTGTCCTATAGGGTTGCTATGAGTCAGAATCGACTCAGCAGCAATGGGTTTAGCTTTTGGGTTGGGTGGCACAGTGGTTAAGTGCTTGGCTGCTAACCAAAAGGTCAGCAATTTGAACCCATCAGCCCGCTCCACAGGAGAAAGATGTGGCAGTCTGCTTCCATAAAGATTACAGTCTTGGAAACCCTATGCAGCAGTTCTACTCTGTCCTATAGGGTCGCTATGAGTCAGAATTGACTTGATGGCAAAGGGTCTGGGTTGGTTTGGAAAGCGAATTATTTACTGAGACTCAATATATGCCTACTCCATATGCAGAAGTAACAGTTATAATAGTTTACTATTACAAACATATAAACACATGCAAAAACAGAGAGCTTTCAATATCTATACATAATACCAAAAAACCCAATCAACTGCCAACAAGTCAATTTCCACTTATAAATTCTATTTAAAAAGGCCTACACATACACATATATTAAAAACCTACATATAGTAAAAGGTTATTATATATTCACCCAAAGAATTGGTCAGATCTGATTTATACCATGTACTTTTGCATTATAGCACTACAAGAATTTCTCTGAAATGAGAAAGCAAAGAAAAGACAAAGAAATAGGAGAAAAAAGAAAATGGTACCAAAACATCCCAGGTTAGCCTTTTCACATTTTACTTTTTTTTAAAATCTCCCTCCCACTGGTTTTGTCTGAATGTTTTTCCCACCTCTAGGTAATAAAAAGATGACAAGAGGAAGAAGAAATAGTCTTTTCAGCAAATGATGCCAGGACAATAAGATCAAAAAGAATGGCGAAAGTATAAAGTTGGAACTTTACTTCACACCATATATAAAAATTAACTCAAAATGAATCAAACACATAAATGTAAGAGCTAAAACTATAAAACTCCTAGAACACACAAGCATTGATCTTCATGACCTTAGATTAGGCAATAGTTTCTTAGCTATGATACATAAATCACAAGCAAACAAAGAAAAATAGATAAATTGGACTTTATCAAAATTAAAAGCTTTTGTGCTTCAAAGGACACCCTCAAGAAAGTGAAGACAACTCACAGAATAAGAGAAATCTGCAAATCATCTATGAGTCTAGTATTCAAAACATACAGTCAACTTTTACAACTCAACAATTAAAAAGATAACCCAATTTTTAAAAGGGCAAAGAATATGAATAAGTATCTCCAAAGAAGAAATACAAATGGGCACTAAGCATATGAAAAGATGTGCAACATCATTAGCAATCAGCGAAATGTAAATCAAAACCACAATGAGATACCACTTCACTCCTACTAAGATGGCTATAATCAAAAAGACAGACAATAATGTGTTAGCAACAATGTGGAGAAACTGGAACTCTCATACAATGCTGGTGGGAATATAAAATGGTGCAGCCTCTTTGGAAAAAAGTTCCTCAAAAACGTAAACATACAGTTACCAGATGAGCTAGCAATTCTATTCCTAGGCATATACCTAAGAGACATGGAAACGTACGTCCATACAAAAACTTGTACGTGGATATTCATAGCAGCATTATTCATGATACCAAAAAGTTGAAACAACCCAAATATCGACTGACGTATTCTTAAACAAAATGTAACATATCCATACAACGAAATATTATTCAGCCACATAAAGGAATGAAGTACTGATACATGCTGCATGAACAAACCTTAAAATCATTATGCTAAGTGAAAGAAGTCTGACACAAAAGGCCACATATTATACGATAATATTTATATGTAATGTCCAGAATAGGCAAATCCATAGACAGACAATAGATTATTGGTTGCCAAGTAGAGTGAGGGGGGAAGAGATGGTGAGTGACTACTACTAAGTACAAGCTCTTTTGGGGGTGATGATAATGTTTTGGAATTAGAATAGTAGTGATAGTTGTTCAATTTTGTGAATTTACTAACCACCACTAATTGTACACTTTAAAGGATGAGTTTTATACTATAATTATACATCAATTAAAAAAAATTACACTCCCTCGCTTATCGACTGTCTCGTTATCTGAAATTCTGCGTTTATTACAACAGTAAAAAATCTACTATCCAACTATTTTGCACATTAACAAAGTATGTCTGGCAGTAATGAACACCGAGGTGAAAGGCAAGAGTAACACCGGCTTTGATAGTTAACGGTTATGTGTCGCTTTGGTTGGGCCGTGGTTCTCAGTGGTTTGGCAGTTATGTAATGATGCAGTCATCCTTCATTTTCACATAACACTGATTTCGCATAACAACCTGGTCTTTGGAACCTAATCATGTCGGTAAGTGAGGCAAGCATACATAGAAGAATAAAAAGCCACACAACTAAGGAATGAAGCAGGTGTTGCTTTTTTGACCCAACATTTTCTGTACACTTATATGTTCCAGACTTATGCTGGCTGCTGGAAACCCAAAGATGAGGAAAAAAATATAATAATAAAATCACCACACTCCCTTCAGGCTCCTTCTCCTTAGCCTACAAATGTCGTATTTCCCAAGAGTAGGGAAGCCTTGAAAATGCAAAAACAGCAAGTGTAAGCCATAGACAATCCAGGAGAATGTAGACAATTACATTATAAACACTTCTCAATTACCTAGGATATTTTTTCTTTATGTTTCACTAATAATGGAGAGGGAGAATATGCTTCTAATATTGGGTGTTAAATAACATATTGTTCCTCAATGTTGACAAAGTCATTTTCCAAAAATAATTAATTAGTTTCATTTCACATTTTTAAAATATTGTTTACAAATAATATTTCTGATAAATCTTTCTTGACTATAACACTTTGAATATATTACTTCCTCAGTGACTCCTGGATTCTCTATTTTTTGATGTTCAAAAACCTCAGGATAAAGAAAAATATTTTTTTTAACACTTTATTACAATAACCATCTGAAAACTTATCTGGCACTCTAATCCCAGTTTTTTGTGAATCAGGGAAAATCTGATTTCCTGATAGCTGCACTTCCGTAAAAGAATAGCTAACAAAAATCAAAGTAATATTTCGAGAGAAAACTGTGTTGAATAGCACTTTAAACAATGAAAAAAAAGGCATGTCCCACTTAATATCTAAAATATTAGATATTTCTGATACTTCCAATACATTATTTATTGAATTTTCCAAAAGATAAAATTAAAGGCTACATTATTATTACCTTATCTTTGGCCTCTGGCAGTGTGATTTCTCTAGGTTCTAAAAATGATATTTCTTGAAAAGGTGGAACACATCTGACTATATCTGGTACATAGTGTGCGTGAAACAATGGCGGCACTGAGTATCTTCTTTCACCTGATAAAGGCACTATCTGGTTAACTACAGTTGGCTCTTGGTGGGGTGAATGGAAACGTTGTCGTTTACCGTCAAAAGGAAGGTTTTTTTCATCGCTTAATCTCCTGAAAACAAGCAATATACCTTAATGATTAAAGATGGAATTTTCTGGTTTCAAAAAGAAAACAATTAAAAATATGTAAATATCATAACAGATAATGGCAACATTATGATCTTTTAGCAATGTCACATTATTAGCTCTGTATAGATTTTAAATAATTACAGTTCTTTTCAGCATAAGAAATCTCAATACCTTATGAAAAATGAGCAGTAATAATGCATATAGAAAAAACAAACTACATACATACGGGGTTAATCTCCTGCAATTCATCTCAGCAGTGAAAACTTTGTAGGAAAGTTTCTATTTATAGAATCACTAAAAGCAAAAAGATCCAAACTCTAACATAAAAAGAATAAGAATAGGTGAGCAGAGTGCAATATATTTAAAAAAAAAAAAAGAGGTCTTTGAATCCACTTATGTTCTGGTTCATAAGTAGGAAAGACTGAACTGAGATTACTTTTAATCAAAAGGTTGGAGGTTCGAGTGGCTCCACAGGAGAAAGACCTGGCAATCTACTCCTGTAAAGATGAGAGCGTTAAAAAACCCTACAGCACAGTTATACTCTGTTACATGGGGTCACTGTGAGTCACAATTGACTCGACAGTACACAACATGCTGAGTATCATTTACCAGGAATGCCAATTTTAATTTTAAAAAATATATATAGCTATGAATTTAACGGAACTTCTTTTCCACACGATTCACAAATTGGCTATCAAGATAATTTTTTTTTAAATCGGAATTAAATCAGTACTTTCAAAATCCCTATATAGCTTTCTACAAGACAACTCTGAAGAACCTGCAGTGCTTATAAGCATGGGATCTAGATGTAAACTGTCTAGATTCAAATCCCAGCTATGCCACTTCTAGCAGAATAACTAATTACATAACCTCTGTGTGCTTCAGTTTTCTCCTCAACAGAAGAGGGATAACAGTACTTACCTCCTAAGGTGTGGTAAAACAAATCAATACTTGTAAAGTCCTTACAACAATGCCTACTATATGTTCAATAATACTCAGCTAGTGCTATTTTTAATTACACATAAAAATTATGGACTATTTATATAAGTTTTAAAGTAACAGCAATATCTTGCAAATATTGCCAAATCTTATTTTAATAATCATCTGTAAAGTCCATTATAATTATTTTATAATACAGAAATTTCTTTTAATCAGATAGGTTAAAATCAACTGGCTCCTGACTAAAATATAGAAAGCTTCATGGCATGTATAGATTTTCACTATAAGATTTGTTACAATGAAGATTACTGGTATAAGATTTAGGTAAAATCAGTAAACTTTACTATAAAGAAGCCCAAGATTTACTTTAATATCTCAAGTAAAAAGTAGATTTCTGAAGAAATGTAGCTTCATTCCACCTAAAAATTATAATAATGGCAAGAACAAATCAACAAAAGAATCCTCAAAATTAAAAAAATAGATAAAAATTTTAAAATTCTATGGCTGGCCTGCCTGCATAGGTCCTAGAAAGGCAAAATTTAGGGCATAGTGTCAATAATATTTTAATCCAAGAGACACTGTCATACAGTTCTCAAAAATGCAAAATTTTCTTTTAAAGCAATTAAGAGAGAAATACTTACTTCCTTCCTCGGAATAATGGAGAGGTTGAGGTCTGTATTGGACTGACATTTCCATATGTCAACTGCTGCAATGACACAGCTCTAGACAAGCTACCAAAAATAAGAAAGATTACATATTTTTTCTAAAAAATAAAACAATTCCAGAAAAATGAAATATTACTCCGATCAAAAGAAAACAAGACATGATAACATCTCTACCTTCAAGTGTTTCATACAAAAAGGATTTATGTCAAATAGATGATGAAATATACAAATGATATGTGCCAAAACATCACCATACTTACTCTGCATTCTGAAAGTTGAACTGCGCATCTATAAGCTGCTGGTGTGAATAAAGAGTTGGTGATAGGGTAAAGAAGTTATTATGCTGTTGATGGTTTGGAGTGAAGGGAGGGCGACCCAAAATTGAGGAGTTTGGGAACATGCTCTTGTTCACTAAAAGTGAACATGTATTCTTCCACCTAGAATAAATTTTAAAAGAGAATGTTAAATTATTATAGCTTGAAGACATTAACTCTGACAACTATTATCTGCTATTTAAAACAATTACAGGTAGTCCTTGTCTTACGACAGGGTTCTGTTCTGTTAATTACATCGTCAAGTTGGTTCTGACATAAGTTGAATACTTTTTTTTTTTTTTTTTTAGCTTTCATTATTGCCTGCTATATGGCAGTGTTTTGAACAGTAAATCATAATATTGAACATCTGGGAGTAAACATCTAAGAATAACATCAGCAAATTACACGCTGCAACCTTATATGTAGTACATATTACTAACAAGAAGATGTTAAAAAAGAAAAAAGATGGTCATAAATGCAGTTTGTCACAACTCAAATACGTCATAAGTCGGGGACTACTTGTAGTTACCAAGTGTCATGGATTGAACTGTGTCCCCCAAAAATATGTCATGATTCCCAGTATTGTGTGGCTGTTCTCCATTCTGTGATTGATATAATTTTCCTATATGTTGTAAATCCTAATCTCTGTCTGTGGTTAATAACGCAAGACTGGATTATGTTGAAGAGGATTAGGGTGGGATGTAACACTCTTGCTCAAGTCACATCCCTAATCCAGTGTAAAGGGTATTTCCCTGGGGTGTGGCCTGTATCACCTTTTATCTTACAAGAGATAAAAGGAAAGCAAGCAGGGAGGGGGGACGTCACCACCAAGTAAGAGTGCCAGGAGCAGAGTGCGTCCTTTGGACCCAGGGTCCCTGCACAGAGAAGCCTCTAGTTCAGGGGAAGACTGACAAGAAGGCTGACAGAAAGAGAAAACCTTCCACTGGAGCTGACACCCTAACTTGGACTTCTAGCCGAGTAGCCTGTGAGACAATAAATTTCTCTTTGTTAAAGCTATCCACTTGTGGTATTTCTGTTAGAGCAGCACTAGATGACTAAGACAGAATTTGGTACCAAGAGTGGAGTGCTGCTCTAACAAACACCTAAAATGTGGAAGTGGTACTGAAACTGTGAATGGATAGAGGAGCAGCAGCAGCAGAGAACCAGCAGCAACTGAACCAGGAGACCAGCACAAGACAGCGCTGGAGGCGAACCACAACCACGGCTTCTGGCAGAGTGGAATGCCTCCGGGCACTTAGCAGTGGAGCTAGGCTTGCCAACCCAAAGAGCAAGAGAATTTAGTGCCTGCGCGCAGGAGGCTTCCTGGCAGAGTGGGGCACCTCCAGACACTTATCGGTGGAGCTGCAGAGCTTTGGAACACTTGCCCCAGCAGGGCAGATGTGGGTGTGAAGCCCCAAAAGCTGGGAGGCCAAGCAAGAAACCAGGAAGCAGAAGCTGAAGAGGAGGGAACACAAGAAGCCGAGCCTCCTCAGTCTCAAAAGGTATGGTCACACTACCTCTGGGTTTCAAAGGGTGGAGCCACGGCCTCTGGTGTTTCTAAGGGTGGAGTCCCCACTCAGATGGACTAGGAGAATGGTGCGCCTAAAGCCGAGGGAGCAGAGTTGCCATCCCAGAGGGCCTGGAAGGCAGAGTTGAAGCCCAGGGCCGAGGCGCCTCCATTCGGAATCTGGAGAGTGTGGCCAGTATCTAGAGTCTGGAGGGCAGGGCCATTGCATAAACTCTCTCAGAGAACAGAGAATTATTTCCAAAGCCTTGAGGGCTAACATAATGTGTTCTGCTGACTGCTTGATGCCTGTTATCCCTTCTTTCCCTCCAGTTTCTCTCATTCATAATGGAAATGTCTAGCTTTTGCCTGTTCTGCCATTGTACCTTTGGAAACAGATAACTTGTATTCTAGATTTCACAGATGAAGAGGAATTTTTGGATTTTGGACCTGGAGTTAAGACTTTTGCTATGATATGATGGGATGAATATGCTTTACATGCTGCAAGGATGTGATTTTGGGGGGGCCAAAGGGTGGAATATCATGGATCGAATTATGTCCCCCAAAGTATTTGTGTATGGGTGGGCCATGTTTCCCAGTATTGTGTGGTTGTCCTCCACTCTGTGATTGTAATTTTATGTTACAGAGGATTAGGATGGGATTGTAACACCCTTACTATGGTCACATCCCTGATCCACTGTAAAGAGAGCTTCCCTGGGTATGGCCTGCACCACCTTTTATCTTACAAGAGATAATAGGAAAGCGAAGCACGCAGAGAGCTGGGGACCTCATACCACCAAGAAAGCAGTGCCGGGAGCACAGTGCATCATTTGGACCCAGGGTCCCTGCGGGGAGAAGCTCCTAGTCTGGGGGAATATTGTTGAGAAGGCCAAAAGAGAGAGAAAGCCTTCTCCTGGAGCTGATGCCCTGAATTTGGACTTTTAGCATACTTTACTTTGAGGAAATAAATTTCTTTGTTAAAGCCATGCAGTTGTGATATTTCTGTTATAGTAGCACTAGATGATTAAGACATCAAGCAACACATTTTGTTTACAAAGTTACTTTAAAAACTTTTAAAATGCCTCTTAAACTCCACTGTAGGTAACAAAAAACTTATTAATGAGTTAATTTTAAATTTAGATTAACCATATATTACTATTCAAATGATAGTAAAATACATGCAAGTTTCTAATTTTCTAATGTATTTTCCCTAACAAATTTACCCTACTATGAGCAAATCTTCTGGAAAATCAAGTTATCACCACATCCTGTGATAATAAAAAAGAAAGCATCCAAGAGAGACATTTAATAAAATCCTACAGATTCTTACATTTATCCTCAATCTAATTTTTTCAAAGGTATATGTCATTATGTGACAACCTGATTCCTAGGATTTGGATCTTAAAGATCCGATCAAACAAGGGAAGGAATTTGTATTAGCCAACAACTATTTATAAAATTCTAAGATTCCCCTCAAAGTCTAAATAACTTATATAAAGAACTTCCATTATAAAGAGGGTTTATTCCATTGTAATTGGAGAAAACTGATATACAAAACAATCAGAACCCTAGAACCTTTCCCTAACCCAGGCAGGAGACTAGATACTAATCTTTGCAATGACTGGTCCAGAGAGGCTACAGACTTACGAAGGGTAGGGTAAGGTACCAAAAGGAAAACAAGTGTAAAAGTCTACAAACTGAACAATAGGACCCTCAGTCCACTTAATATCTATGCTTAATTCACAGAAAGCTGAAGGTCAGACCTACACACACATACACACACACAAATATTTACCCTGGCATCATTTCCCAAAGCAGGCAATCAGAAAACTCTTCTCTGAGAAACTGACAGAGAAGCTATATAATATACTAACAAAATAACCTATAACAGTAAAAGTTGGAGGTCTACAAAGGAAAAGCCAAGGGAGCTGGCTAACCAACATATAATAAAGCCTACTAGTTAACAGGCCCCACCCATGCACACAGAGCCCAGTTAGATTTCTAGTACCCTACACTTATTTGTGCCCATTCCAAAGAAAGGTGATCCAACAGAATGAGGAAACTATCAAACAATATCGTTTACAACACATGCAAGTAAAATTCTGCAGAAAACAAAAATGGTTGCAGCAGTACGTCGACAGGGAACTGTCGGAATTTCAAGCCAGACTCAGAAGAGGACATGGAACAAGGGATATCATTGCTAATATCAAATGGATCTTGGCTGAAAGCAGAAAATACCAGAAGGACGTTACCTGTGTTTTACTGATCATGCAAAGGCATTCGACTGTGTGGATCATAACAAATTATGGGTAACGCTGAGAAGACTGGGAATTCCAGAACACTTAATTGTGCCCATAAGGAACCTGTACATAGATCAAGAGGCAGTCGTTCAAACAGAAAAAGAGGATACTGCATGATTTAAAGTCAGGAAAGGTGTGCATCAGGGTTGTATCCTTTCACCATACTTATTCAATCTGTATGCTGAGCAAGATTCGAGAAGCTGGACTATATGAAGAACAGGGCATCAGGATTGGAGGAAGACTCGTTAACAACCTGCAATATGCAGATGACACAACCTTGTTTGCTGAAAGCCAAGAGGACTTGAAGCACTTACTGATGAAGATCAAAGACTACAGTCTTCAGTATGGATTATACCTCAACATAAAAAAAACAAAAATCCTCACAACTGGACCAATAAGCAACATCATGATAAACACAGAAAATATTAAAGTTGTCAAGGATTTCATTTTACTTGGATCCACAATCAACACCCACAGAAGCAGCAGTCAAGAAATCAAACAACACATTGCATTAGGCAAATCTGCTGCAAAAGATCTCTTTAAAGTGTTCAAAAGCAAAGATGTTACCTTGAGGACTAAGGTGCACCTGACCCAAGCCATGTTATTTTTAACTGCTTCCTATGCATGTGAAAGCAGGACAATGAATAAGGAAGACCAAAGAAGAATTGATGCCTTTGAATTATGGTGTTAGCGAAGGAAACTGAATATACCATGGACTGCCAAAAGAACAAACAAATCTGTCTTGGAAGAAGTACAGCCAGAATGCTCCTCAGAAGTAAGCATAGCGAGACTTCATCTCACATACTTTGGACATGTTATCACAAAGGACCAATCCCTGGAGAAGGACATTGTGCTCGGTAAAGTATAGCATCAGTGAAAAAGAGGAAGACCCTCAAGGAGATGGACTGACACAGTGGCTGTAACAATGGGCTCAAACCCAGCAACAATTGTGAGCATGGAGCAGGACCAGGCAATGTTTTGTTCTGTTGGACACAGGGTCACTATGAGTTGGAACCGACCTGATAGCACCTAACCACAACAACAACAACATCTGAAACAGACATCCAGGGATCATAAGAAGAAAAAAAGATCTGGGAAGAAACAGAAGAGTATACTATTTTAAAAACAGAAAGAGCTCTTAGAAATTACAAAACTGAAAGCAGAAATATGCAACAGAACATTAAACGATAACATTGAGGAAATCTCTTAGAACAGAAAGGAAAAACTGGTAGGCAGAGGAAGGAGGCAGGGCCACAGGAGAGAAAACGTAAGAGAATCAAAATATATGGTCCAGCATTCACATTATAATAGAAGTTCCA